TAACACCTTCAAAGAAGCTGACCTAGGGGTGCCTGGGTGGCTCAGGTGGTGAAGCATCTGCCTTTGGCTCAGGTCAGGTCTCAGGGTCCTGGGATCGAGCTCTACGTCGGGCTCTCTGCTCAGCAGGGAGTCTGCTGCGCATTCTGTGCGTGCCCGCGCGTGCTCTCTAATAAATAAAATCTTTAAAAACAAAAAACAAAGAAGCTTACCTAACCAAACAGATTCAATAAACTAGGCTTACTAGGAGAACTTCGGAAACTTCAAGTGCTTGATCATTTTAGAACCTTATTTTTCTTAAATTCAAATTAATTAAGCCAATTTTAAAGTTAATTTAATGGAATAATGGAATATCACTTATCAAAATAAACAAAATTCTCTCACATGTCAAAAAATTCAATGTTTGTTGTTGACTGGGGAGTAAAAAATCAAAATAACATAAAACAACATTTTACTTTAGAATAAGAGAGGCAGAGGCAGGTGGCTATTAATATTTTTGACTCCTGGCAAATACTTCCTCAGAGACTTACACCCATTCCCTGCTTGGTGGTAGGACATTTACAGCCTCGTCAATTTTCTGGAAGACAGGATCTAGGTAGGGAAAGGCAGCCTAAGCCATCATACACTCAGTAACTAACCACTTAGGGGAAAGGTATATACTTTCATTCTACAAAGGATCTTAGGTAATCTGCCAGCCTTTCATTTAACAGGAAAAGACCCTAAACCCCAGAGAACAGAGGTAATTTCTTCTCAAATCCAGTCAGTAGAACCCAGGTTATATTCTATATAACAATGACTTGATCAGTCATTGTTTCTACTATCCATAGGCATGACTCTTCAGGATATTAAAATTTTATAAATATAGGGGCGCCTGGGTGACTCAGTCATTGGGCGTCTGCCTTCGGCTCAGGTCATGATCCCAGGGTCCTGGGATCAAGCCCCACATTGGGCTCCCTGCTCAGCGGGAAGCCTGCTTCTCCCTCTCCCATTCCCCCTGCTTGTGTTCCCCTCTCTCTGTCTCTGTCAAGTAAATAAAATCTTAAAAAAAATTAAATTAAAAAAAAAATTTTTTACAAATTTAGCCAAAATGTTCAGAAGGGGAGAACACTCATGAAACAAAAACTGAGACTAAAGGGGCACCAGGCTGGCTCAGTCTGAGGAGCATGTGATTTTTTTTTTTTTTTAAAGATTTTATTGCTTTGAGAAAGAGAGTGCGCGCACGCGCGCACACATGAGAAGGGGGAGGGTCAGAGGGAGAAGTAGATTCCCTGCTGAGCAGGGAGCCCAATGCAGGACTCGATCCCAGCACTCCAGGATCATGACCTGAGCCAAAGGCAGTCGCTTAACCAGGTGAGCCACCCAGGCGCCCCGAGCACGTGATTCTTGATCTGAGGGTATGAGTTCCAGCCCCACGTTGGGTGTAGAGATTACTTAAATAAACTTAAACAAACAGACACTTAAGGAATTCTGACTCTTGGCCCCAGACATGAGAACTTAAGAACAAATCATCTGAATATCCTCAGTTGTCTAATCAGAGATGCTCTAAGTTTGACTGGCTCATGGTTTCAGGCAGCTGAAAGGGATTTTCCCAGTTCTGACTCACAGTCCTCTGAGAGAAGGCCCCCATCCAGTTTTAAAAAGAATAAACAGTATTACAAGGATGCACAGCACCAACTCAGTGAAATTAATCCAGCAAGGGGCGGTAAACCAAAAGGCTGAAGATACCTGCCGATTTAGCGAAGTACAGGAGGAGTGCCAGCCAACACCTGCACACTGTTTTTAGTCTCCAGAGACTTCCAAGGTCAAAGGCAGAAGAAAAAATCTGGGCCATGTGAATTTCTTCTGTCTTCTGAGTTCAATGGGACTGGGCTCTGAATGAGTGTTCATGCCCAGCTGTCTTGAGTCATCACTTTCTATTCTTCACTAAAAGTATTTCAGAAAAACATTTTAGGAAAACAGTATCTCCTAAACTACAAATGTCATGAGATGGAAGAGGAAGAAGAGAGAACAGAACATAATGTTGAAAAAAGTACTATCAGAGAATCTTTATTAAAAATGAACCAAAAAAAAAATGAACTAAAATGGCCAGGGGCACCTGGCTGGCTTAGTTGGAAGACCATGTGACTCTTGATCTCGGGGGTCATGAGTTTGAGCCCCACCTTGGGTGTAGAGATTACTAAAATAATAATTATAAAAAAATAAAAGTTTTTAAAATGAACTAAGATGAATTAGTCAATTTTGACCATATGGGCAACACCCATATGGTCTGTACCCATTTTTACTGATGCAAATAATAACTTTGCAGGTACCTGATTAGTTCTTCTAACTGATAAATCAAAACATTTGAGCACACAATTTTAACAAAGTTGAAACTATTTAAATTCTCAAATGATGGATATTAAGCATTGATGGCTCTTTCTTTTCTTGAAAACTGCCTTGCAACAGGGTATTCCACTCATTTTGTTGGAACTTCCAAGACCTAGACAAAGATCCATTGTCAGAGAGAATGTCACTATGACAAAAGAAGGTCACAAATTTTCTTCTTTTGCAGTAATTTTATTAAATACTGCTTGAAACAAGCAGGCAATTGGCTAGACTAGGGAAACATTTCTGTTGTGCAAATATTTGTGTTATGCCATTATTTATCATATGGTAGTATAATTTGGACTCTACACATACGGTTCCCCATCCTCCAAAAATCAGTGAATAAATAACTGGAAGGAAATTTGTCAACTTTCAGTTTACAGTTGAAACTATACGAGTTTGAGAACCAGACTCAGTGAACATGCAACACCTGGGCAATGTCAAACTCAATGTACAATATGTGCTCTCATTAATTAATATGCATAATGGTCATCTTGACCACCCCTCATAATGATATTTATCTTTGGAGTACTTTAATTTCATGTAGCAAATACACTGTTAAAATTACTTGAGAGAAGGATATTAAAATTTTTGTCCCTCTTCAGACCACCCTACGCACAGTATCCCAAGGGAATGTGAGTAATGCGTACTTAAGCAATAGGCATCGCCTTGATTTTTCCACAACACTGCTAATCTAGCTTGGGTCAGTCCGAAAATGTTATTCCATTTTTGAAATATCTAGGCAAATGTTGCTTTTAAGTATTTAATACGATAAAGAAGGCAATAGAGCCCTTTTAACAATGTATCATTTTATTTATACTACTCTGGCTGTTATCACTTTCTCAGGAAGCCTTTAAAACCAAAACACACAAGTGACCAAGAGAATGTGTAAGTCAAGAACACACAAAAACAGACTGAAGAGACAACTTAATTTTGGCTGGGTCGTCATCTAGCCAAGACAGGGAAAACCTCTGGTAACAACTAGAGAAGCTCAACCACTTTCAGGACTCCTCAGTATGGCTATAAGATTTATTAGAGGTGAATTGGAGATGAAAGGGCATATACTGCAGATACTGTGTAACAAGGCACGTTGCTCATTTCCTCATGTGTAAAATGGGTATAAAGCCTTCAAACCATAACATTGGGCGCCTGGGTGGCTCAGTTGGTTAAGCGACTGCCTTCGGCTCAGGTCATGATCCTGGAGTCCCTGGATCGAGTCCCGCATCGGGCTCCCTGCTCGGCAGGGAGTCTGCTTCTTCCTCTGACCCTCCCCCCATCTCATGTGCTTTCTCTCTCATTCTCTCTCTCTCAATAAAATCTTTAAAAAAAAATAATAATATAAGAAAAATAGTTGACGGGGCACCTGGGTGGCTCAATTGGTTGAGCATCCAACTTTTGGTTTCGGCTTGAGTCATGGTCTCAGGATTGTGAGATCAAGCCCAGTGCTGGGCTCCTGCCTTGGCGAGGAGTCTGCTTGAGAATTTCTCTCCCTCTGCCTCTCCCCAACTCCTGCTCTCTCTCTCCACCTCCCTCTCTCAAAAAAACAAATCTTAAAAAAAAAAAAAGAAAGAAAGAAAAATAGTTGGCTCAAAGTTGTTTCCTTTCCCTGCCACACCAATATTGCTATGACTACATGGAATGAGCCATTTGCATTAAGAAAGATGAATGAGAGCAAGCTGTCTTTAAACATGCAGTCAGCATATACTTGGGTTTTGTCTCATCTTTATAGGTGCTGTTTATATCTGGAAATGAGTTCTTAACTACCAGTAATGTCTTTTCACCCTGGAAGGAAAGAAGAATAAATACAGTATGGCAGAAATTCAAGGATGACACAACATACAGTCAAGCACTCCCTTTGAGTGAAGCATGGTTGACACGCTAGGATTACTAATTTATAATAGACCCCAACTACTCATTCCAACAGCCTCTATCATCCTAACTAGCTACTTTCAGTAGGGGAGGAGGCAGGAGAGACTGACCTTGATTCACCTCATTACCTACCAAATGTGGAAAACCCTTTAGCACAGTGATTCTCAATCTTGGCTGCACTTGGCTCCACATCAAATCACCTGGGGAGCTTTTAAAGCTCCAACTGCCCAAATCATACCCCAAACATCTGAATATCTGGGGCTAGGGTGCAGGCACTGGTAATTTTCCTGACTTCATCTAAATTCTGCTGAAAGCCAACTTAGAGCATTTCACAACCCCAACTTCTGAGTAGAGCAGGTACAACAGGGTCCTGAATGCTGGAACATCACTGATGCCTGCACCGAGGTCCACACAGAGGGCTGAACCGAAAGCTTATTAGCAGGAGAGTTACCCAGATCCTCACCTGAGAGCCACCTTTTCCAATAGTTTGCACTAAAAACAAACAAAACCCCCAAGTAACCAATCTTAAGAGATGTCACCAAAGCCCGCTGATTTTTTTTTAAGTCAAATCTCTTGGGAAAGAAAGTATATGGGGGAGCGCACCCCCCCACACACAGCCTATAGACAGAACCATACGATTCCCATGGCCGCCCAGAAAACACCCCGTAAACTCCCCTCAGCTCAGCGCAAGCGGGCGCGCGCCAGCCTGTGGCCACTGCACCTGCTGTCGCGCTGGGCCGCACCTGCCGCGCCGGGCCCTCTCCTCCTACCTTCCAGCAGCTCGTCCAGGCTGGTGACCTTCCGACTGCCGTCGATGGTGTAGATGGTGCGGACACCCTGGGGCAGGTTCACGTTGTCCGACAAGGAGCGGGTGAGCTCCATGAGCAGCGCATCAAAGGACCGGAAGCGGTCGCTGGAGATGGCAAACACCAGGCCCTTGAAGTAGCGGTCCCCATTCCGGTAGAAGCGCGCCTTCTTGGCCTTCTTCTCTGAGCTCAGAGCCTGCAGGGTCCGCGTGCGGTAGAAGCTGCAGTGAGCACTGTGCGCCGGGCTGGGGATGAGCCCGTTCCCCTTGGGGCCCGAGCTGCTGCTGCCTCCCGAGGAGCTGGGCGCCCCTCTCCGCGACCCCGGTCGCGGCCTTTTGTCCCGTTCCTCAAAGTGCTCCAGCTCAATACTCCTGGTGCTGGCCATCACGGCTGCTCCGAAGGCTCCCCCACAAAAAACGTCCCAGCCAAAGCCTCCGGGTAGCCTAGTGTCAATGTGAGAATCAGTTCAGGGACGTATGAGCGCTGGGGGGGGGGGGAGGGGAAGGCTCAGAGCGCCGGGACACCTGGCTCTGGCATCCCACCCTCTCCTCACAGGTGGGGCCGCTGAGCCGCCGAGGAGCCGGATGGCCCGCGCCCCCCCCTAAAAGTGGCCGCAGCGTTGAGCTGCCCAGCTCATTGTCCAGCGCGGCTCGCTCTGTCCCGCCCGCAGGGAGCCCCCCGTCCCCTGAGCGCCTTCTCCACCCAGCCACGCCTCACAACTCCCGCCTGGGAGCCGGCCAGAAGACGCAAAGTTGGGCCGCCCGAGGTTCGCCGCGGGCCGGCGGGCGCACACAAAGCTCGGGCGCTCGCCGCGGCTCGCGTCCGCCGGCGGCTCCCGGGAGGCTGAGGGGAAGGAAGGAAGAAGAGTGGGAGGAGCTGGGAGCGTGGGAGAGGCGCCGCGGGCCCGCAGGGGCGTCGCGCCCGGCCCCGGCCCGCCCACGAGCCCTGTGGGAGGCCCGGGATGCGGCGCCTCCACCTGGCTCGCCCGCAGGCCCTGTCCTAGTGGCGGCGCGCGCGGACTCTGGCTGAAAGGGCAGTGCGTTGGCCCCTTCCTCCCACAGAGCCCGGCCCTTGCGGGAAATAATGCAGCCCGCCTCCCTGGCTGCCGGCCGGCCCAGCCCACCCGCGAGCATCCGCGCCGGACTCCGCGGCCGGCCCGGCTCGCTGGCGGGGCTGGAGGTGGGGGGGGGGCGGTTCCTGCCCCTCAAGGGCTGCCAAAGCCCGGGAGGGAGTGGGTGCGCGAGGAGAAGGGGCCGCACGGGTCAGCGCGGAGGCTCTGCGGCGGGAGAGGACCGACTCCTCCTGGGTCCTAGGCAGCCCCGGTCTCCTGACAGCTGCAAACCCGTGCGGCGCGCTAATGGGCGCAGCCGCGGCACGCGCTCCTCCGCCTGGGAAACGTAAACGCGCAGGTCAAAAAAACTACAAAGGAAGGAGATTCAAGGGCAGAGATCACATCCCTAACTAGCCTCCGAAGGAGGAACCGAGGCTAAACTAGGACAGAAATTCGAAACATGACATTGGATTTGGGCACAAAATTTATAAAAGAAAATTTGAAGCTTTATTTTAAAATCCTTTCATAAAACAGTTTCCATTGCAGATTTGCTGACATAGGATGCTGAGTAAGTTTGAAGGAATAAATGATCAGAAGTTATTGGGTTTTGAGAGATTTATTTAATCAACAAATATTTATTAAGAGCAAGTCATGTGTCAGGCGTTGTTTCCACCACTGGGGATGCATTAGTAAAGGAAACAACTACCTCCCCTCCCCCACTCACAGTCAAGCGGCATTTAATGTTGTCAATTGAGCTTCTTAATTGAGGTCTCACATTTGTAAGCACCCATCATACTGGAAATCTTAATTTACTACTATCAACAGTAAAAACATATTTCCTAAAGGCTTATGAGAAACATTAGTTATTTCCATTTTGCTATCAGGGAAAGATGAGGCCAAAAGATGTTTGGTCCTAATCTAACAGGTGGGTAAGCTACCCTGAAACCTTATTTATTCAGCACCTGGTTCTTTGAGTGGCCCTAGACAACAAATCCAAATCGACCTGGAAGGTTGGAAGGCATGGATACTTTTCTTGGAATGAACTGAGTCCTGGAAGAGCATGAGTAAGAAAAGGCAGGAGTATATGCAGTGGTTCTTCAGCAGCTGTGAAGTTGCCCTGGCATGGCAATGATCCAGAAGAATCCTGTTCAGTGCACCACTGTAGTCCCAGGACAGTCTCAGGGACACACCTGGACATAGTTGACTTCTAGAACCAGGCCTGGAGCAGGCCAGGAAGTCAGCTGATCTGAGGTTACATTGTAGTTTTCAAGGGGAAAAATTCCAAAATATTATTAGGTCCATGACCACGATAGACCTCAACCCAGACCAATTAAATCAGAATTTCTGGAGATAGGCTTCTCCAACAGTATTTCTTTCTTTCTTCTGTTCTTTTTTTTTTTTTTTAAGATTTATTTATTTCAGAGAGAGCAAGCTTGTGAGCAGGGGGAGGGGCAGAGGGAGAGGAAGAGAGAATCCCAACCAGACTCTGCTGAGCATGAGCCAAAACCAAGAGTGGGGCACCCAGCCGACTGAGCCACTCAGGAACCCCAACCAACAGTTATTTTTTGAAAGTGCTCTTAATGTATATAGCCAGGGCTTCCAACTACAGTCTATATAACATTAAGAATCAAAAGACCAGTGTTTCTTCTCAAACTCTGATGTACTTATACATAGTAGGGGAATCTCATAAAATGTGGCTTCTGATTCAGTAGGTCTGCGGTAGGATTTGAAATGCTACATTTCTTAAAGAGTTTTTTTCTAACAAGTTTCCAGGCAATGCCCTCATTGCTGGTCTCCGTACAGTACTTTGAGAAAAAAAGAACTAAATGGCAAATTCCTTGAGATAAGGCCTCATTAAATACAACTAATTGCGGAGCCTATCAACTTTGTAAATGATTTAACATGGGTGTGTTCATCTGTTTTCCTATTACTATATCTTGGGGGGAAAAAACACTTTCTAATTCATTGCTGTAGTAACAAATTATCCCAAATCTAGTGATTTACAGCAATAAATATGCATTATCTCAACAGTTTCTGTGAGTCAGAAATCTAGGAGCAGCTCGCCTTGAGTTTTCATTAGATTGCAATCAAGACATCGACTAGGGCTGCAGTCATCCAAAGGTCTGACTGGCATCTGGAGACCCACTTCCAACATGGCTCACTCACGTTGTTGGCAGGAGCCCTTAGTTCCTCACCATGAACACCTCTCTGTAGGGTCACTTGAGTGTTGTAACATGTCAGCTGGCTTCCCCTAGAGTAAGCATTCATAAGAGAACAAGGTGGAGGCCATTACATCATTCCCACACTATCCTGTAAGGTATACTGCTCAGCCCCGTTCAATGGGGGACACAAGGGTATGACTACCAGGTGTCAGGGATCATTGGGGTCATCTTGCAGGCTGGTCGTGCAGGCTTCAATCACTCAAGCTGTAGGACACTGACATATACACATTTTCTCAAAGATTTCTGATAAAAGATTTGGCCCTTCTTAAAAAGTGAAGACAATGAGGTAATATGCCAGTATTTTCACATTATTCCCTAACACTATATCCCTAAATTAAACAAAGATTACTGTTTCTCAACAAGGGTGAGGGCAGAAGAGAATTTCCAAAGCTGTTACTTAGTTAAAATTATTTTGCTCTTGCTCTTGCATTAATTTGTTTAAAGGATTTTATTCCAAACCCTCATGTAAGGATTAAGATGTGATCACTTTTCATAAGATATTTACATAATGTATATGTTATATATCAAGATCCAGTTAAAAAAAAAAAAGACCCAGTTTGCCAAAATTTGAATATTTATGGTGGTGGGAAAAAATTAGTTTTGGCATTAAAATCCTAAGGCAAGCAAAACGGGGGGTTCTAGATAGACATCACTTAATTTGGGTTATTTTGTAGTAGAACCAAAACAAATTCTCTCCTTTTAAGCCATTGCAGAATTTGCAGAATAGGATATTTCAACTGGTATTTCCTTTGCTGCAATAACTCCTTTTTTCTAACCAAGAAACACTATCTGATTTGTTATTCATTCGTCATTACAGAGATGGTCTAATTCTCCTTCTTGGTTGTGAGGTCTACCAATTCTGTCCGCCAGGTCCTGCTTTAAAAGGGCTTCATTCGGAGGGGCTGGCCCTGCCTCTTCACCACCTGGAAGCCGGCCTTGACCTTTTCTCTGTTGGTGGTAGATTCTCCATATCCTTTCCTTACCGCCTTAATCTAACACTTGTCTGAATAAAAACTTTTGTGCAGAGTACTTTTAAAAATGGCTTCCTTTATATGCTACAGAGAACCTAAGAATTTCAATCCAACATTTCTCCATTTTTTGTATGATTACAAAGGAACCCTTTCTGCTCTTGATATATAATAAATTCAAATCGTGAAGTATCGAGTGAACGTGAACATTTTCTTGATGATATCCAGGAAAGGGTCTTTTAAAAACCATTTGGGGCAGAAAAACTCAACTACATATGAAGGGAAGCAAATTGTTTTTTGTTCTCTACACTTCTTAGATCACAATTTCAGAATTTTGGAGCTGCCTTTTAGCCATATGATAACTCTCTCCCCCCCCACCTCCCTACCCCCACCTGGACTGAGAAATGCAATGGAAATTTTTATTTAGCATTATTTGTTTAAACGAGATTTCATCACACACTTTTTTTTTTTTTTTTTAAGATTTTACTTATTTATTTGACACAGAGAGACAGCAAGAGAGGGAACACAAGCACCGGGAGTGGGAGAGGGAGAAGCAGGCTTCCCGCTGAGCAGGGATCCCAATGGTGGGGCGTGGTGGGGGGGAATGGCGGGCTCCATCCTAGGGTCGTGGGATCATGACCTGAGCCAAAAGCAGCCGCTTAACTACTGAGCCCCTCATTACATACTACTTCGTGGAGCTTTACATAAGAAAACTTGCCTTGAACATCCGCTGATTTTGCTTCAGGCTACTTTACTTTTCCAGTGCATTGGCTAGTCTTCACTTCTGGCCAGAAACTTCTGCTCTTAGAGGCAGTTTTCCAGCTTCGTTATTTATTACGGTAAACATGCTTATGAACCTTTTGGACTGCACTGTGCCGAGATTTTTCTGCTGTCTCATGTTTTCATTCCTGTTCACTAGTGCCAAACATTTCTCCCAGAAGCAAAAATGATGAAACAACTATTTTCAGCAAAAGGGCCTGGTGATTATGGACTTGAGTTTTTGAAACTGAGCAATATTTTTTTATTTCATAATCTTTAGTGCCTATAAATTCTGGCGATTTTTGTCCAGCTTTAACGGGAAAGGGCATAAAGCAAAGTGGGTCAGAAAGAGACTTTCTCCCCTTACTCCATACCCGGAACCTGGCCTGGAAAAAAAGATTCAGACGAACTGTTCTCTTATTTGTTGTTTCACCTTGGCAGCTTTGCTGTCCTTTTCAGTCATGATTTTTACAGCACTTTACAAATATATGAATAACTTCTTTGCAAATATGTATGTGAGGGAATGATTAAAACTACCTTTTCAGGTTCAGAAAATTCAAACTTAGCTTATTGGTTAAATCTTTCAAAAATTCCAAGTTTAATTTTTTTTTAAGATTATTTGAGAGAGAGAGAGCAAGTGCCAGCATGTGTGGGCCCGTGGGGTGTGGGAGGAGGGGCAGAGGGAGAGGGAGAGAGAATCTCAAGCAGACCCCACTGAACGTGGAGCCCAAAGTGGGGCTCAATCTCAGGGCAGGTTCCTGAGATTGAGTAAGGGACAGGTGGGGCTAGGTAGGGAGAGATAGATAGGGGGCTATGTGATCAGAAATGCGAGAAATGCTGAAGTGTAAGGAAACCAGAGATAAGGGAACAAACCCGGAGCACCCTGCCCTAGGTTATGGGGTGGGTGTCTTTTTTATGATAATCATCTGTGACCAACAAAGAATTACCAAACCCTAAAAAGAAGTGAGCCATTAAAGATGTTATGACCTGTCGTTACTCAAGCCAAGATATCACAAGAATGATAAGGCCACAAGCTCCCTGGTCAGTTCTAAATAAAAGACTGTCAGTGAAGGCACTTTTGGCAACCCTGTCAGGACCCCTTTCACTCTTGAGAGGTTTTCTGTATCTTTACTTAATAAACTTCTATCTCTTTACTCACCCTCCTTTGCGAGATTCATACTTTGACTCCCTGAGACAAGATCCTCACTCTTCTGGGACGCCTGGG